TATAAAGATGTGACGGGTAAGTACTTCGTGTGAAGTGAATCGCCACCCTCTTTTCGGGATTTATTTCTATTCTCCATTTGCGGAACCAATCGCCGAGGCGGTCGGCGGCGCTTTGGAGTCGAGTGGTTAGTATTCTAAGGTTGCGGTCTGAATAAAAGAGCGCGGTGTCATCCGCGAAAAGCGCGAGATTGACGTGGCGGTCTTTGGGTATGTCGCTCGTGTAGAGCGTAAAGAGCAAAGGTGAGAGGCCTTGTGGTACGCCGGCCGTGAGGCGGCGGCTTGTGGAGAGGGTGCCCTCGACTCGATATCAAAAAGAGCGATTCAACAAAAAGGCCCGGATGGTGTGTACGAGCCTATCTGGCACTTTGAGTGTGTATAGCTTGTAAAGTAAGCCGTTGTGCCAGACCTTGTCGAATGCCTTTGTGCTCCGATGTGCTTTCGATGTGCTCCGTTAGGCGGTATAACTGGTCGGGACAAGAGTGTCTAGCTCGAAAGCCGAATTGTTCCGTCGGCAGAAGGCCGTTGGAAAATACGTGCTCTCTGAGCCTGTTTAATAAGTGCCGCTCTTAGAGCTTCCCCAGGCAACTGAGGAGGCTGATGGGACGATAGCTAGAGGGCTGGTTAGCTGGTTTATTCGGCTTGCGAATGCCGATAACCGTGGCTTGTTTCCAGTCGTCCGGAAAGGAGCAACTGGAGAGTAGAGTGTTGAAAATGGTCGCCAGTAAACAGATAAGCGGCCCAGGGAGAGCTTTGAGAATTTTGTTACTGATATTATCTGGGCCCGGGGCGGATTTCGGTTTTAGATTTTTAATAATATCTTGGACCTCTTCGGAGGTCACTGAATTAAAAGGTTCGCCTTCCGGTGGAAGCGCAGCCCTAGTCTCGATTACGCGGTCCACCTCCGTTAGGTGGACTGTATCGGTGTGTTCGCGCGATGGCGTACATTGCTGCTCTAGGTTGTCCGCAAGGCATTCGGCTTTTTCGGAGTCATCTAGGGCTACTGAAGCGCTATTAGGTCTAACTAACGGCGGTAGAGATTCGCGGGGGTCTGCTTTCAGACTGCGGGCCAACCGCCAGTAGGCGGTGTGCGATGGCTCGATGTCCTCTAGGAGAGTGTCCCACGTTGTATGTCGGTGTTCCGATACACGATCTTGACTTCTAGCTGAAGGCGTCGAAGTAGGGTTCGGTTCGATTCCGATCGGTATCGGTCGAAGGTGCGTTTGGCTGCATTTTTCTGTCTAATTAGCAGTCTTAGATCGGGCGGAAAGTTAAACCGTCGGTCGCCCGACAGTTTCACCGTCCGTTCCAAGTCTGTGACCGCGGAAGTAATAGTTTCTCGAAGACTCGCTATCGCTCGATTTGCGTCATCGAACGTAGCTATCGTCTCGGGTAGGTCTACTAAGTCCTGGGGGTCCAAGGCCTTGAGTTTGACCTCAAGACGATGCCAGTCCACTACGGATTTGGTCGGAGGGACCGCGCCGGCGTTCTGGCCCAGTTTACACAGGACGGGCCTGTGATCTGAGTCTAGTTCATGGATTGTCTCTATCGACTCGATGTCGAGCGAGACCTCCCTGAATAACATGATGTATAGGACACTCGGTGATGCGTGTTGGTAGTTGTCCACCGTAGGACACCTAGTGGGAATCGCGGGAGCGACTATGCTAAAGTTTAGGTTATCGGATAAGCTAAAGAGATGCTTTCCGTTGTCATTTGGGATGCTGTTGGTGTCCCATGAGCCGTGTTTGCAGTTCGTGTTAGATCTCCTGCAATTATCACGGAAGGGCCTAAGTTGAGTAGCGTATCTAGGTCGCTTTGTAATAAGGTTTTGTTCCCCGAGACGTAGGCTGAGACTAGTACAAGCGGCCTGTGGCCGGTGAGCGCTAACCTACACGCGGATGCCTCTATTTGACTTAGCTCTGGAATGTCGAGCGGGCAACAGTGCAAGGACCGTTTGTAATAAATTAATGTGCCTCCCAGACGGTTTGCTAACTGGCCGTGGCGGACAATGTTGTAATTTGCGATTCTGGGATCGCGTACACTAGGCTTCAAGACATCCTGCGCCGCAGAAGCAAATCGCGTCATGCGTTCCAAGTGTTTGTTATTCGGGCCATACAGTCCTCTCGGATCGGGGCATGGTTGTTTCGGGAGGTATCTGTATCGCCTAGGGGGAGGGAGCCCACAGAGGAAAGCCAACACTGTGACGTATGTTCCGAGGAAACGGCTCAACACGCGCTGGAGGAGTGCCCAGTTTGAATAGAGTAGCGCCGAGAACTGATCGCTATCGTAGGCGTGACCTCTCGCTGTTAGCCGTGGTCTGTTTTTATTGTGAGGACTTTGTCACACGGAGGGGGGCTACAGTTAGACTCAGGGCGGTAACTGCCCACCTAGCTATGCACAGCTGATGGTGAGACCTCGGGCATAACGGGCCCCGTGAGGGGTGCTGTGGTAATTGTACCAGCACAGCACCATAACTGGCTGGACTGGTTGTCTTATGAAGTGGGGGCGGAGCCCCTAATAAGGCTACGGTCACGCCTTGGTCACGAAAGATTGCCTTTTCCTGTGGCAGACGCGACAGTGCAAATGCAACGTGTGGTTTTAGTGAGTACCCTTCTATCCGGGGCTCCCGCATACCTCTGCCGCTCCCCCAATTCAGTGGCATGGGATCCAAAAACAAGTTTTCCCACATTAAAAAACAAAATAAGAACAGTTACTCCAGTTAGATAAGTCAAACTTTAAGGCAGAGGTCACTCGGCTAATCCAATTAGTATGGGCCAATCTTCTCACCTAATATCCCTCAATGTTTAAAAAGCCTACACATACCCAAGCATACTTAGGAAGCTGAAGTGGAAATGGGCCGGCCATATAGCTCGTAGAATGATAACCAATGGGGAAGAAAGGTCCTCGAGTGGCAGCCCCATAGTTATCATAGTGTAGGACGACCCCTTACTAGATGGAGAGACGACCTGTGCAAGTACGCAGGAAGTCGATGTATGCAGGTGGCTAAGGCAGGGTGATGCAGGTGGTCGGTGGGGGATGCGGTCTGTGAGGGAGGCTGCATCCCACACCTCAAATAGACTCAAATCGGCAGAAATGATGATTATGATGTTTAATTTACTGTTTAACAATACTCCCCTAAAAACAATGTTCTGTTGTTTTTAGTTTCTAAGTAATTGGGGCGATTTTTGGAGTTTTTGACTTTAGCTTTAGGTATAAAAATTTTATTATATATATTGAGAATTGGTAGCATGTTGCAACAATGTTGTGTAGCTTATGTTTAGTTAAGCAAAACAGCAATTATATTTATACTATAGATATATTATATGCTCACAAAATTTTCAGCACTCATTCACACATTTCGTTTATCATAACTTTCTCACACATTTCCAATTGTGTAAAAAGGATAAATAAAGTAATAAGAAAAAAAAAACTATTTATTAGGCTGTTTGTCGCTTCAGCGAAGTGTAAACAAATTTCACTCAGGAAATGAGGAAACCAATCATGGCACGTTTGGCATAAACTGACAAATTAGAAGGTGTAAACCGATGAATAAAATGAATAAAATACGTTGAAAATGTACTGAATATTTATAAAACTAAAAAAATGTTAGTACCTACCATCCTAATTTGTTACTTTTTTGTCTCTCATAGTTTTTTTTAATTTAAGGTTATTAAAGTTATACTTCTTTTGGCGCGTTACGGAAAAATGATGTTAAAAATTTTTGTAGTCGAATAAATTTTTAAGATGCGCGCGCACACCGTCACGAAACCGACACCCTGAAGTTAGCTATTCATTAAATAATTAATGTTATATATTAGTATTAATTAATAGACACAAAAAAATAAAATGTAAGTAGAGTAACGATGACTTTTCTCCTGTACTTGTGTAATCTTTGTCCGGAGTACACCCGTCTTTCTCGTCCTCGTAATGAATTTCCTGCCTCTTTCATTGTTCTCTAAACTGAATAAATTAAAATATTAGGAAAATAAATGAAATGTACTAATAAATCGAAGATATAGTGTATATTTACGGGCATATTTATGTCAATAGAGATACCTTGTATTTTGTTAACTTTAGAATCGTAGTTGGTACATCTTTTAAACAAACACGACGGGATTTTTATCATTGCAAAATTCTGCTGAGACTGCAATTTACTCGTCGCACTGCGTGACGTGAACTACAGGCAAGACGTCCCAATTGGGACGTTCTAGAGGCTTCACCTCACGCGCGTGATAACATATCTGTCGCTTAGAATATCATTACAAAAGAGTGAAAACTAAAAATAATACTTTGTTATATGAATAAATATATATAGAAATATGATGAATAAATTTATTAAAGGTTTTTGCCTTACTCAATTATTTTTAAAATAATCATTTGTATAAAACAGAACGCATGTTTTAGTTTTTTAAACGCAGCCCTAATTTTTTGACATTTCGCAGCTGTATGTATGCCGTAAGATTTCTGGATTTTGTGTTTATCAGTGTAATTAAACGACATAAACAATTATTGAACTAAAAACGTAAATAAACTCGGGATTGGATGTCAATCTACTAGCTACAGCACAATTAACGATACAACAAGGTAAAGATCATTTTCCATAGCTTATAAGAATAACGCAATGTCTAAATTGTACAACAAACCTTTTTGATAATATTCCCATTTAGTAATAATTGATTTTAAACATTATTTGTGCAAACTACTATGTTTGTACATATTCAATTTAATTTTTACATGTATTTTGTTTCAACATGATTCACAAAAATATTTCAAAGTAAATTTAATTTTTTTCCTTTGAACTATACCTACACAAAGTGAACTTTGGTGAACTTAAAGGCTAAAGCTAAGATAGCCCATGTTTGTCCATTTATTTTTTTTAACTTTCAGTTATTAACCTGTTTTTTTTCTTGTATTCATTTATAAATTTGTATTGGATTAACTTATGTTAGTAACATTTATTTTCAGATGCTTTCATTCGTTCATAATGAAGTTATCATTTTTTAATGAGGTAATTTGACTTTTATGTCCCTAACTGTGCTACTTTAATTCTTTAATATCTTGAAGTTATTCAAAAATTTTTTAATTCATAATTTATAAATAAATTTAGTGTTTTACAGCTAATTAATAAAAAATATATCATTTCAACCAAGCTTTAAGTAAGACATTTCTGGCAATCAGCCGTTTAGCTTAGTGGCTAAAGCATTAGGCCGCGAAAGCCGAAGATGTGGGTTCGATTCCCACAACAGCGACAATCTTTTACTAATGTTTCTACAAATTTGCATTTCTGTTTTTATTTATAATTTACATGTGGACAAAACAATCTTTTTATTAAAATTTTTATTAAAATTACTGTTAACTGAAACTCATTTATAAAATACAGACTGTGAAGATTTTGAAATTAAATCAAAATATGTCAGGAAATAAAATAAAAATGAAATGCAAAATGTTATTTAAAATCATTTAAAAATTTAGCTCAATAAATCATGTAAACTGAGTAAATTATGTTGGATATTCTAATTTTGAATTAAGGAAAGAAAATATAATGAAAGAATCTTGAAATTTATTTGATGGACTTTTCTTATTTGATTGCTGAAACTATGTAGACTGACCAATATACCATAATTTGGATCAGCAGTGATGGATCCTGGTATAGATAGTGAATGGCTTGGTTATAAAAATGATCACATTGAGGAGGCCCAAAACATTGGCAATGTAGCTCGCAGCTGGCAGTGGAGAGAGAGAGGCATTGAACCCCTTAATTATCCTAGCAATAAGACAGTACTGGAAAATGCAGCAGAAGATATTCTTGTTCAAAAACCTCTTAAGATCAGAGTAAGTTTGATATTTAAATTTGTGCTATCTTGTTATTTAATTTGAGTTTGATTATCAACTACAATTTTATTGTTCTCTCATCTTCTAAGCCTTGGTTATAAGGATTACTAGCTTGTGCCAATAATTTTGTCTGAGCAGGATAAGTATTTCAAGTAGCTTATCTTCTTCTCCAAGGTCCTATCTTTCTTTATACCAAAATTCATCAAAATTGTATCTGTGCTTTAGCCGTGAAGGTATAACAAACAGTTATACCTGTACCTACATATAACAATGCAAAAGTTATATGTAGCTACTGCAATATACTCCTGTAAACTATATTAAACAATTTGGTACATTTATTTTTTATATCTTTATAAATTCACAAAATATCTTTGTAAATTATAGACTATGTGTTATTATGATGTATAATCCATGTTATTGTAAAGTTTCATTAAAATTCATTCATTAGTTTTTTGCGGCAAAGTGTAACTAACATCCATACATACAAACTTTTGTGTTTGTAATATTAGTAAGGATGATGACACAGTTTTATATTAAACTCATAATTCAGTAAGTGTCTGCAAAAGCCACATTATTTAAGATATTTGGACAATCTACTAAATTATTTTCTTTCTTAGATACTTTATAGGTTTATTTTCTTTCACATTTTAAAGTCACAGTCAAAAGTTTTTTATTGGTTGTCACCATTTATAAAATGTCAATATCAATCAGGTACCGGTTTAGAAATTTAGACTTGAAGAAAGCGAATGATATTCTTAAATATGTATAAGAAGTGGCAAAGATACAATAAATATACTCTTTATCGCTCAAAAAAAGTGTGGACATCTTGCATTGACAAAGACTTTACACTGCATAAATTATCTGATCTTACTATAGGTCCTCCCATGTCCATAAGATATGATGCTCTTAAAATGGTACACTGCATGGCTCATGAGCAGCCTTTGCAACAGTTTTAAATGATTTTGATCAATTTGGGAGCTATTATCTGAATTTAAAACACAAATAATGAATACATAGGATTATGGATGGGGCATACCCATCCCAAAATAATATGGTACTCTTAGTTTACTATGAAAGATATTGTGACCTTTTATCATAAACTTTTGCAAATATAATTGTTTTTGAAGAAGTCTTTTAGTTGTTTGTTTTTTGGGCACAAATAAGTTGTTTCATTCAAATCAGAAATAGAAATAAATGCTCCATTCGCTTTCCTGAATGTGAGTACTTTTTATAATTTGTTGTTGGTACATTATTTTAATTATTTTATTTTTATTATTGTGCAGTGCTGTGACCTTCCAGGATCTCCAAGATCAACCTTTTTAATGGTTTTTAGTCCCGATGGGTAAGTGACAACCACAAGAACTTTAATTCATTTACTAATTTGGAATGCATCCCATGATCTGCACACGTCAATTAAATGTTTTTAATGCTTTACTTTCATGGTGTTGTAATACTAAAAATATTAGTTCACTAATTCAATGTTATTCAAGTAGAACTCCATGGGTGCATTGCATTTATGTTTAATTAAATAAAATTCTCAGTTTTCTGCAAGAACATGTGGAAGACCTTCGAAATAGTAATATTTTACTTACTTCAATTATTACATTACATTTTATATATTCCTTTTATCTTAGATCCACTACATTCTTAGCCATTTTGCACCATAACTCAGTTGTCATTGTGACATTGTAAAAATATTATTGTAAAATGTTAATTATTCATGTTGTTATCAGCTTCCCAATACTACATTACTTGCAACATATGTTGAATTTCTACATAATAATTCAGTACTGTAAAAATATCTATAATAATGTAACTTATTTCAGAACCAAAGTTGCATCAACACATGGAAATCACAATATATATGTATCAGAATTAGCTAGCGGGAAGCATGTGCGAATACTTAAAGGACATCCCCGCACACCTTGGTGTATAGCATTTCACCCTTCGCACCCACAATTAATAGGGAGTGGATGTCTTGGAGGTCAAGTCAGGGTCTGGGATATCTCCAGTGTACGTGATTATTTTTTTTACTCTAAATTATTTTCTATTATATGTACCACTTTATCAATAATTAAATGTATGTATAAGATAATTAAAATTGCTCTTTTTACATCAGGGTGGCAGTGAAGTGTGGAATGTACGTAATGAGACAGTTATAGCATCAATTGCATTCCACCCCCGTGAGCAATTGTTAGTGATAGCTACATATAATGAACTTTATTTCTGGGATTGGAACCAACCGGCGCCCTTTACCAAAGTCACCACAAATAATGTCAATGAGAAAGTAAGGTATGTGTAGTATTTAATGTTGTATTTGCAGTGTTGCCTTAAAATAATATATTTTTAATAAAATTTTAGATTAAACGATTATACATAGAAAAAGGGGTTTCCAATCTAATGCACCGGGTAGCTGCTACTTGGCTTTATGGCATTATAGGAAATGTTATGAGTTTTAGAGAATTCCCAAATATGCCTGACTACATAAACGCTAATGCACTGAAATATACAAGGCTGACATTAAATCGAAGTGAAGTAAATTTTTAAAAAGCGACTTGAACACATTTTTTAATATGTGAGAAGATGGCAAGCAAGCAAGCGGGTCATCCGATACAAAGTGATACCAGCCGCCCATTGATATTAGCAAAACACGTAGGGTTGCAGAAGCGTTGCCACCTTATAATAAAGTGGCCACCGGCTACCTCACTCAACATACGAAACGCAGAAGTGTAACAGTTCCACTCCACGCCGGACTTCTGTGAGGTCGTGGCACTTACGCAAACCTGCGGACCTGCCCATTCGTCGCGTCAGCGAAGACTGTTCGTTTCAGGTACGTGGCGTTCGACGCTTTGGGTTACAAGCTGATAACGGGCATATCGTTGTGGGCCAGCCCTGGCGGCACGGCGTGTCTCCTCCAGCAGTTCTCCAACCTGAACGCCCCCAACCAGTCGCCGTTCAGGCGGGACGACTCCGACGACAATGGCGGCACCAACAGGCCCCAGCAGGAGGGCTCGGGCTCCGCTCAGGAGATGATCGTCAACTCGTACCAGAATCTGGTGCAGCGCTACGACAGCCTAGTGAGGAACTACCAGAGGCTGTACATGGTGCGCCATAGGCTCACCAGCACACCGCCCCCGCCCAATACGGTAACTTACCAAATGTATAAGGGAGGAAATGGTAGAAGCTTCCCCTTGGCAGCCTTCTTCCAAGAATTAACTTCATTAGTCTTATCCCATATTCCGGTTAAAATCCCAAAATGTCTGAATCATACGCAATATTTTATGAACTATGTGAACTCCTACATGTACAAGCACAAAGTAAATGGCATTGTGGTGTCAGCAAGCATAATAAATTTATCAGCAATAGCAAGATATTATTTAAAGAAATTAAGCATTTAATTAAATCTTTGGTACTTTGGGATTACCCCGTCGACCGCTTTCACCAGACACGAAATCATCGCCGAAAGGTTTTGACATTGTTATTTATAAATTAGGATAAATTAGAAACCACATTTATTTATTTCAAACAGAAAGCTTAGGTTCGTTAATTCTAATAAGAATAATATTAGATTCGTTAATATTAATAAGTTTTTATAAATTAAGATAAATTAGGTTAAACATTTATTTATTTCAAACTGATAGGTGAGATTTGTTAGGTGTACATTTTTACGGTTCAGTACCCAAAGGGTAAAATGCCTATTACTAAAACTCCGCTGTCTATCCGTCTGTCACCAGGCTGTATCACATGAACCGTGATAGATTGACAGTTAAAATTTTTACTCGACTTTATTTCAACAAATACTAAAAAACAGAATAAAAAAACATTTAAGTGAGGCTCATACAACAGACATGGTTTTTTGCAGTTTTTATAGATAATGGTACGGAACGCTTCGTGCGCGAGTCCGACTCGCACTTGGGCGGTTTTTTATACATATATTACGGAGTCCCGCGAAATAGGTCGACGTCACTATTACAGGATTCTTAAATACATTAATTTTTATAAATTACTATCGACCGGCCCGGCTTCGCACGATGCAATGTATATTATACATATAAACGTTCATCTTGAATCATTATCTAGTAAAAAAAAAACCGCATCAAGATCCGTTGCGTAGTTTTAAAGATCTAAACATACATAGGGACAGACAGACAGCGGTACGATTTTGTTTTATACTATGTATTGAAGATAAACTAGGTTCAACAATTAATTTATTTCAAAATGATAGGTTAGGTTTTTTATTTGTACACTCTTAAATATTAAGGAGCACCGGGACGACATTATGAGGTCTACGGGATAATACCCAAGTACTAGTCCTTAGAATTCGTTTCTGTCCCAGTTCCATGTTTAATTTTGGAAAACAAACATTTGATGAAATAGTGTGATAAAGAGATAACTTCACGTCGAAAATTAGATTTCGCAACCAAGGGGCAAGACGCCGTTTTAAGCAACCACCTAAAGTACAAAAGATCTGACAACAGTTTGAAATTATAGGGTTATGCCTAATATGACTGTCATTTTTTTTAAATACACAAACTTAGGTAGTGTTTCCTAAGTAAACGGTGGGTGACACGTTACACTTGTCCACATTTGCTAAGACATTACCAGGTTAAATGACTTTTAGATCGACCGCGGTACTGATCCTATGGAAACGGACGCTTCGCCGAGCGGCATTACCCGCACCGCCCGCGCCACCGCTGCCCCACAACAGCACGAGGGTAATATTGACAGTAAAGAAATAATTTTAAGTAACCCCCTGTCACAAAAGAAAAATGCAAATTTTAGCTAAGAACCATCTCGATCACGTCAGGTGTAAATCAAAAACACGCACAATAATCGGTCCATTCGTTGAGAAGGCACAATGCCACAGACAGACATTAGATACGTCAAACTTAAACACACCTCTCTTTACGTCAGAGGTAAAAAAATACATGCATATAAGATAAGTAGTCAGCACGGTTCGACTAAGTTAAAATTTATATGTTGTATATAGTAATACAGACTATTAGATTCAAAAGCAAATGAGAAATTTTCTGTGAAAAGAAGAATTTCTCAAAAAACGTAGGTAGACCTTTCCAAAATTTAACATACCATCAACGCAGTCTCTGAAGCACTTAAATGTTAAGCAATTGATTTTCAAACTTTTACGAAGCATTTACAAATCAATCCAATCGAACTTGATAGCAAGGGACATTTTATGAATTTGCCGTGGATCTGGCTACAAAGTAGATAAGCCACTCTCATTTATTATATGTATATATAATAGCTTTTCGTTTTAGTATAAGATAAAGATCAGTTAATTACAATACAGAATAAATACTATTATATGATTTACTGTTCATACTAAATTATATGAATGTAATTTGCAAAAAGCGTTAAAGGTAAAAGTAATCCTAAACTAGCACTTAATTTTTTTAGGTGTCTTAATATTAGCATAAGCTAGCACTTCCACAAATGATATATTTATTAGTCAGTGTTGTACAGAAGAAAAATAGCTTGCTTTTATACATGTGAAATAACTAAAAGTTTCTAAAATGTCGTTAATAGACAGGTATGGACATGTTCCCTCAAATGGTTATCGACTATTGCAGTGTCATTATCATATGCACCTGATGATATACCCTGAAACAAAGTTGTGCCTTCCTGATGATCAATATGATATGCCTGTGCTTTTGTCGAGTGATAGCTGTTATAAGTGATACAATGTGATAAATAGTTCCGTATCATTGTAACATATGTTTTGCGAGTTTACCGGTTTTATTTGTCTGTGAGACAGGAAAATACTGTCAGCTTCTCTCGTAGCAGGAAACCCCACGCCTAGCAGTTCCCGTCAGAACGGCGCTGAGAATGGTGACGGTGAAGCAAACAGCGGCCGCCTTCTAAATCTCTCTTTGGGAATAACATTGATGTTCTCTGTTTGAGGACTAACCCTCCAAGGTGCATAATCAGCTTGATCATAATCATATTAATCAGCTTGATCTGAATGATAAGTTGAACGCGTTGTAAATAAATCCTGACTTTTCTCCTCGTCTCTTATTTTTCTAGAGATCAAGACAGACGCGAGGAGCAATCGACTTTCGGCTCCAGGTCCTCCGCTTTTCAGCCTCTTAACGATTACGCGGGACGCTCGTTTAGAACCGTCGATCAAAGCGAGCGCGTAAGATTGTTGCCTAACCCGTTCTCGTCGAATAATGCGGGACCTTCGACGCCTGACGTTGAACCATCCGCGGACAATCCGACGAACTCGTCGCGCACGAGTATATTCACTTCGGCCCGCCCGGAAGCCGGTTCCCACGCCGACGTCGCCCCGCGCAGATCGCATCGCAATCTCCCATCCTCCCTGCCCACCGCCCTGTCGATAGCGGACGGCCTGCCGTTTATGCTCGATGACTTGGGCCCGCTCACTCGTTGGCCGCCAGAGCCCTCGACGCCGTCCACCTCCGGCACCAACCCTCAGAGGCCCACGATGACCAACTCGTCAACGCAGATGAGCCCCGTGACCACGCCGGTCGACGCGCGCACCATCAACCAGAGCTTAGACCTGATCCGCGACATACTGAGGGACTCCGGCACGAGGCTGCTAAACCTTATCACGAACATGTCCATATCGACTCTGGCCAGCATGGAAAGGAGTAGCCCCCGCAGGGCTGGCTCACGCACGCACTCCGACGAGAGCGACGGCGGTGAGAGGGCGCGTGAATCGAGACCGCGCGGCCGCCGCTTCAGGACTCGGTTGCGCAGTGATCTGATACTATCCACCTCCGACTCGGACAGCGACCAGTCTCTAGAAGTCAATATTCTGCGAACGCCCAACAGCACTTATAGGGAGGACGAACCCAGGGACGCGAGCGGGCCGAGTACTTCCGCTAGCAGCAGACAGCAACAGCCCACCGATCGAATGACCTTCGAACTGGACGAGGACGCTATTGAAGGCACTTCCGCAGGCACTAGTGGTATCAACGTGTCCGCGAGCAACAGCAGGTTTCACGTGCGCTCGCAGAGGAATTTCGCTGGCGAGGGTCCCAGCACGTCGTCTAGAGATCGCTCGGGCGCCTCGGAAGGTCGCAGTCAGAGCTTCCGAATGGATGGCGCGTCGAGCAGCCGAGACAATTTTTGGACAAGGGGAGGCGCGATGCCACCCCGCGAGGCTTATAGAAAAGTGAGAGGCGGCGTGAACGCTTTACACAGGCATACCGCGATACTGACTAACCTGTGGCTGCAAGCCAGCCGCGTTACGATGCGTCAGCTGCGCAACATGTGGGAGAATTTGCGTCGCCGTGTGCTGGCGCTGCACAGGCAAACAGGACATCAGGATGCGCCCAGTCATTACACGAGGTCACTTCTAGAACGGTGCATGTTATTAACTCAAATGACGGATACCGTGCACGGCTCCACCAGAAATCCCACTAGACTGAGGACTGATAATGCTGAGACCGAAAACAGGCACCAAAACCAAGACCTCCATATGGAAGAAAATAACGGTACATCCAATCAAAACGATGATAATCCAACACATGAATCTGATAGAATTGTTAGACAATCGCCATCCGCGCAATCGTCCCAGAGGAGAAGTTCCGTTCGCTCCTCGCCATATCTCAGGAGAAGGCTCCAATCAAGCTATAGATGGAGGCCGGAAGATGAACTTAGAAGACGCTCACGAAATCCTACGGTAAATCGTCTATCCCAGAGATATGCGAACAGGCCCCGCAGAGATTTTGCCAGAGCTTTAGAAATCAGCGCCACGCGGCATGAAATCCGAATGAGAGCGATGCAAGTGTTATCGGTTATGTTTAATATGATGATGATGTGTTTGGAGGAGCGCGGCTTGAGTCGACTTATAATAAACATGTTGAGGAACTTGAAAAAATCTTTAGCGCTGACCTGTTTAATATTGATGTCAAACAGAAGCATCAGCCGTAATGCGAACAGTCCTTCGCAGCAATCCACGCGCATGGACGCCCTTAACGTGGTTAGAATCGAGAACATAGACCACGCTGGGCCAGTTAATGTTGACGGGCCCGATGAATCGCCCAATTCCTTTTCTAGCGACACCGACGATGATCAATCGCAGAATCGAACGAACGACAGGCTTCCAGCTACTACGTCACAAACTTCCACCGCCACACAGAGTACATCCACCAGAGACCGCCCGCAAGAAACCTCGTCGACATCTGCCGCCTTTAGCGCTTCTGTACACAGATGGAGCAACCGGCTCGCGGTGCAAATCGCGGAGGCGAACCGGAATAACTCTGTCACTGCCATCAATCGCAGGAAAATCTATTTAGAGCGGAAACGACAGAAGGCCTTGCACAGGACGAACCCACTAGTCCATCCTCTGATAAAGAAGAGGCTGTTTCCGCCCGTCTCCAGTCACAGAATCCCCGCACTGCGATCGTTACCGCGTAAGCAGCTCACGGGCACAGCTTCCACTTCTAGGAGCGACTCGTCAAACCCTGAGCCGGTCGCCGGGCCGTCTAGCCTGCCGCCGGGCGCCGAAACCGCCAACCAGGAATCGCCTAGGAACGAATTCGAGCAGAGAGTGAACTTGATAAGGCTGGCACATTTGCAGGCTGTGCGTATGCGGAATGCGGCTAACAGGTTCAGACGATTGGAGACGATAAGGCTGTACACTCCTTCGTCCGTCCGCGAGATGTTCTCTCTGCAGGCGAGTGGGTCGGACAACCAGCCGGGTAACCGATCGGCCCAGCCAGGTGCTTCGGATGGCGGAAACCGGCGGTCCTTCGCCACGTACATCCTGCCCACGGAGCCGAATGACAGGGCGAATGAGGATTTCTACACGATGATGAATAACGCCCCAATGCCGCTGATGCAAGTGAACGATCTTCCCGTGCCCTCGGAGGCCTCCGGCAGTCAGCCACAAAGGCTCCCGAGGATCCACGAATATCTTCAACCAATAATTTTAGCTCAGGTGAGTGTTTATAATCTGTTTACTTTTCATTATTTCATCAAGTCAAGGAGAGAACTATGACAAAGAAGAAGACATTAAGTCATAGTTGGGAAACGTTCAAACAAAGTCAAGTCATAGCGCCGATGGCGATATTTGGCATTATTTTCATACGTATGATTGCAGAACGCAATGGTCGTGGAAGAGGAAGCCAACGGCGATGGTGGTGGCGGCGGGGGAGGGGGCAGTGGTGGTGGGGGAGGGGGCGGGGGTGGCGAAAATGGTGGGGGCAGGAACATCGGTGCTCGCCGAATGGGAGGCATGGCCGGCCTACTCGATGCCGGAATCATATCCGAAGCACTGCCGGCACCCTCGCACCGAGTGCAGGCCTGGGATTTCACCTCCGGGGCCACCCCTGACATCGCAGACAGTACGTTCAATCTGAACACTCGTGTAATTATGGATTTCATGAAAAAATACTTTTTGATTTGTTATGGTGTGAGATGAAAAACTAAAGAAAAAAAAACTGACGTTCTCATTTGACATTTTCATTATTTCCGCATGACTTATGATATAAGAGAATTATTAACATAAATTAAAGTAAATAAATACACTTTTAGGTACGAAAAATGTCGTGGTGCAAAGATGCAGAATCCATAATGACGCTAGTATTGACATATCTAAAGATGGCCGACTGTTGGTAGCGTTGTTGCCAGTGCCAAGACTTCGCAATACCAATCACTGGTTGGGTGAGTCATGTAATATACGGATAATTTATCTATTACCTTATATGTTCTTAACAAACCTTTATATTCGTAAATCGTTAACGTGAATTTTGATATTATAAATGAGGGCTGCTGTTATTCGAAATAGTATATGCTTGTTTTAAAACAAGCTTCTAACTTTGACGAGCTAGAACTTTTATATTTTGAGTACAATTGATAATCGGAACAAAAAGATCCTAGAGTGCACGGCACTGTGCACCTCGAGACAATGTCCTCAACCTAACGCCTGGTGGTGTTAGTTTGATTTGCCCCGACGCATCCGCCTCACCTTGACGCTGGGTCGTGGCGTTATAACTAATTTAACGCCCGTTCGTGGCGTTCCGCCTTACCTTGACGCCCGGCCGTGGCGGCTTAGTGGCCCCAACGGTCAACCCTGGCGGTGCGGGTTCGCGTGATGTTTGCAGGGGTCTACTCGCTGGAGTGGCCGCGGCTGGGCCACTGCCTGCACACCGCCGTGCTGGAGCAGAGCGCGGTGTCCGTGGCGCTATCGCCGACCGCGCGCCACCTGGCGGTGGGCCTGGGCTCGCGCCGCTTCACCACCACGCCGCACGCGCGCAACAACGTGTTCGCGCTGCTCTACCGGCTCGAGCCGCTCGGTTAGTCCAACGCAGCGCGACGCCCCACGCCCACCGGACGCGTTCGAATCCCCCGTCCCTTTCGTCCCTGGAGAAAATTTTAAACGGACAAGGATCTAGCCTTCCCACACCCACCAGACGCGTTCCACTCCCCCGTCCCTTTCGTCCCTGGAGAAAATTTAAACGGACAACGATCTAGCCTTCCCACACCCACCAGACGCGTTCCACTCCCCCGTCCCTTTCGTCCCTGGAGAAAATTTTAAACGGACAACGATCTAGCCTTCCCACACCCACCAGACGCGTTCCACTCCCCCGTCCCTTTCGTCCCTGGAGAAAATTTTTAACGGACAACGATCTAGCCTTCCCACACCCACCAGACGCGTTCCACTCCCCCGTCCCTTTCGTCCCTGGAGAAAATTTTAAACGGACAACAATCTAGCCTTCCCACACCCACCAGACGCGTTCGACTCTCCCGTCCCTTTCGTCTCTGAAGAAAATTTTAAACGGACAACGATCTAGCCTTCCCACACCCACCAGACGCGTTCGACTCCCCCGTCCCTTTCGTCCCTGGAGAAAATTTTAAACGGACAACGATCTAGCCTTCCCACACCCACCAGACGCGTTCCACTCCCCCGTCCCTTTCGTCCCTGGAGAAAATTTTAAACGGACAACGATCTAGCCTTCCCCCACCCAACAGACGCGTTCCACTCCCCCGTCCCTTTCGTCCCTGGAGAAAATTTTAAACGGACAACGATCTAGCCTTCCCCCACCCAACAGACGCGTTCCACTCCCCCGTCCCTTTCGTCTCTGGAGAAAATATTAAACGGACAACGATCTAGCCTTCCCACACCCACCAGACGCGTTCGACTCCCCCGTCCCTTTCGTCCCTGGAGAAAATTTTAAACGGACAACGATCTAGCCTTCCTGGTTATAAAAAGATAAAATCGTTATTCACAGATAATTCAAGCCGGACCGGTCTGTCGCCAATCAAGGAGTTGGAACAAAATTGGGAACACGGCTTCACGAGCCTCAACTGCCTCCGCTGGGCGCCGCAGCCCGGGCAAGGTCTGGTTTACGCCAATAATACTGGACAACTGATTATCATGAGTTAAGTGGATAATAAAAACTCCAACTCACATAAACGCCTGCAAGCCATTGGCACATTTAACCGAACAGATTATATGAACCGCCAAAGCGGACACGGTATACATTTAGCTGATTTTCATGTATTTGTCTGAGGAATTATCTTTTAAAAATAAATAATGCACCGTACAAAAGTTGCTACACATATCATTGTAGTCGTGACGTACTTATGATTGTCTCAATGGTGATGCATGTTAATTTCCATTTTCTTATTATCTATAATTGTTACTACCAAATGCCGATGTATGAATATTATCGGGCTACTGAATCAACCGTTGAAGGTAACATCTATCAACGAAACTCATCATAACGGATAAAAGTCTTCTTAGGAAGTATTAACTTGGGAAAATAAGTAGGCCATATTGATTTTACATTTTAATATCTAAGGGATACGTTATACAGCGTAGTAGTTTTAACTCTAAAAACCAGCTCTACCACTGCGTCATTTTAAGATAAATCGATATAGGCTATACATAAGCATTTTAAACTAACCTAAATGCAAAATTTTGTGGTTGGGATGAACAATGTGATTATTAGTTACAGTCTTTCATTAAATTGATGTTAAGATCTTGTTTATCTCTAACTTTTAAAATTAGAAAGTTGTATTAAGTACTGTGTGTATAAATGGAATAGGCTTCTAAAATGATTAAGTTTCGCAATATTGCTTAGTGTCCGCTGTTCAAATTGACTCTATGATAAAAATAAACTAGGCGATTTCGTTAATTTTAAGCGCTTAGTTAGGCAAACATTGGTCATGATCGCAATAATTAAATTATTTATTTATTAAGCTCTTAGGCAGTATGCATGCACAACGGACCGATTTGTATATTCAAACTGTCAGAAAAAATAATGATTTCTTCATTAATAATTTGGTGCATACGTCACCACTCGTTCTAAAACTAAGTTGTTTATGCTTTTGTTTTGTCAATTCGCATGACACTGGAATCATTTCAGCCTGTTTGAGTCCACTGCTGAACATAGGCCTCCCCCATAGACTGCCATGAAGTACGATCCTGAGCCACCTGCATCCATCGACTTCCCGCACATTTGCACAGGTCGTCACTCCATCTAGTTGGGGGTCGTCCTACACTGCGATGGCCAGTACGAGGCTGCCACTCGAGAACCTTTCTTCCCCAACGGTTATCGGTTCTACGAGCTAAATGGCCGGCCCATCGCCACTTCAGCTTACTAATCCTCTGAGCTATATCGGTTATCTTAGTTCTACTGCGGATGTCTTCGTTACGAACTCTATCACGCAGAGAAATACCGAGCATAGCCCGCTCCATAGCTCGCTGAGCGACTTTGAGCTTCCTCATACGGCCAGCAGTGAAGGACCATGTCTCGGTTCCGTAGGTCATCACTGGCAACACACATTGATTGAAGACTTTAGTCTTCAAACATTGAGGTATATTCTAACATTGACACTGGAAAGGGACAATAAATCTCAAAAAAAACTGTCAGTTCATGACAAGAGTCTGTAGGTATTGGACATTCGACGCGTTTAGAAACATTATAATATCAGCAGCCGAAACAATTGTATTTAATATTTTTGTTACGGACCTTTTGCAAATCTCTTCTCAATTTAATAAGCATTTTAAAGTCACATTAACTTGTGAATCTCAGCATTTTGGTCTTTTGTCCCATGATTAGATATATGACACATACGTTAATTATATTCATAGTTCATGATTTGATTTTCCCTATTATTCTAATTTATGTTTATACTTAGTTATAATTTTGTCAGTTCTTCCAATTTTATTATAATAGTAACGAATTCAAAAACTTTGTTTCGTTGTTATACAATTAAAAATTAAATAGTGATGTCTTGTTCCTTAAAACATTTTATTTATTACCTAATTTAGTTGCTATTCTGTTTTATTTGTACCGAAATTTAAAGAGTTTTATGGCTCCATGTCTCTTTCTTTAAAAAGATTCTGAAGAGGGATATATTATTACATAAGTCACAATAAGTTTTATAACCATTTTTTACTAAATGCAAACCTATAGGAGTATAGACGATAAACCCACCATATACGCAAATAACGGGTTAAATATTGTATGACACGTATGATTTACTTTAGCATTACATCACTTCTCGTTTATGCCGTACAAACCATAAAATTTAGCTAACATTCCGTTATTTTAAAGTTTTTTATAGTGCTAATCTCTGCACTTAAGATTGAACATTAAAACATGTAGAAAAAGTACGAAAAGATTGTCACCGCGATCTAGCCAATCTTTTCGTACTTTTTCTACATGTTTTAATTCCGTTATTTCTTATATGTTTGTATGTTTTAACCTAAAATTGTCTCATTTCTTTTATAAATTAAAATAAGCACCTACGATCAAAAATACAGTTAATTAACAAAAAGTACACTAAATATATTTTAAAGATATTCAATACATTTGTCGAAGTAAGTAAGTTATCATATTATAATTATATTATATACATATACTTCTATCTATAATTATAGACCTCTACTACTATCTATCCCTTATATTTATAGACTTCGCAATAAAAAACATCTTTTCTAATATAAGCTTTTAGAAATTAAAATTTTACACCTTTGCCATGTGTTTATGAGGTTTTAAATAATTCTCTTACTTACTTTTAAAACATTTATAAATGTACAAATCCCTTCCACATATAATACAACTACATTACATTCTAAAATGTAAACAGATTTAAAATATGTATATAATAATCGTTTTTGTAAGTTCCCTTTAATTTTATGTAATCTAAAGAAATTAATATTATAATAATTAAATAATATCACATTAGTTTAACTTATGCTTTTTATTCAATTTACCTTATTTGACAAAAATCATGTAAATGGATCTCTTTCTGGGTAAACTCATGAATATTACATTATTGCCTTTTAATTTCATCAAAATCTAATTGATATAGCATTTAAAGGGAACTTTCCTAGGATTTCTTACATACTGTGGTCTATTATTGTCAATGGTTAGCCATGATGTCATCTTTTATCCCTCTTCGGATGATTCAAGATAGGTTCTACCGTTTTATTTTACTTGCAAAAGTAATGTACAGATAAAGAATAAGAAAATGTACAGTGAATATTATGCTTGTGTCTAATAAAAATAATATAACCGTAAATGTTTTATTTATTCCCAACTTATTAATTCCCAGTGTCTCGATCATACAGGACTTTCAGGACCAAGGCCGAGTATTCACACAAACTGAATACTCGGCCTTGGCCTTTCAAGTCTTATTTACACAATTCAAGTTATTTTTTCTATATATTTCTACTATATAGTAGATTAAATCAAGAAGATTAGATCAAGCTAGTAAAGAACGACACCCGCTATCCCTGTTGGTTTTCTACCGCGTCATTTTCTTGTGTACAAAAGTGAGCAAGCTACAGCCGCACGACAGCGTTCCGCATGCCGTAGTGGCGGTATCCCGGCACGCGGTTAGCTGTGTTTACTATACAGACGACTGTGACGACAGGCCGCATTATCCAAAAAGCTATGGCAGCCTCAACCTGCAAGAGAAGAGTCTAACCTTAAAATGGAAATTAGGAACAGAGACGCAGCGGTCGCAGAGAGACTAGCTAAGAAACAACACCTATTACCTAATAACCTGCGACGACGAGATCTCCGTCCATTCTCCCTATAACAAAAACTGTGCAGGAAATATTGTTTAGTTTGCAAGATATCAAAAATATATATATAAATCAATTATTTTATATATGTATTTAAAAAAAATCAATAATTATGAACTCACTGCTGCACCGTTACCAGACCGGTTAATGTACGCGGCGGTGATAGCACATAAAGAAAAATTAAAAAAAAACATGTTAATCAAAAAAGACTACGGACCACGAATCTGTAGAGTTAGTTTAAAATAAAAAATAAAAAAAAATGTTTTCCACGATTTGGGAAATTTGTTAAAAATGGTATGTCCAATTATTTTACAATGATACTCGGTGAACTATTTCAATACTATTTAGAGAGCAAGACAAATACTTTTTATTGGTCCTTTTAATAATTGTACTTTCAATGATTCGTTTTTTGTTTGCCTTTTATTCTTAAAGACTGGATTATGGTCTTTCCAACTAAAACCCCCCTTGGTAACCACCCTTAGTACTTTGAGAATAGCTCCGAGATCTCCTTACTGTTTTGCGGTAAAATCAGATCACTTAATAGTATAGTCCATAAGGGCTCCATTGAAGTAGGTGTGTAGGGTCACCCTATCCAAATCACCAGTAAAACCGACTTAAACCCGGTTTAAACCGACTCTTACGACAGGAAGGGAATACCATAGTCTTATTTTATGAAAACAGGAATACTAAGCTCCTTATTTATGTCTTATGGCTGCATTATCTCACATATTAACTCCTATAAATGGAATCTGTATTAGATGCATGCAAATATTTTAGAGCCGTGATAGCTCAGCGTCCGGGCGCTCGCCTTTTATTTAATATACTCAAGCAACCCGAGTTCGATCCCCGGTGCCAGTATCAATGAAATTGGCAATTTTAAGTGCTGAATTTCACGTGCTCAGCGGTGAAGCAAAATATCGTGAGGAAACCAGCATATTTTCAAAATAATAACAAAAAAAATATTTATTATATTTCGAAGATATGTGAAGTCCGCCAATCCGCAATGAGGCCGCGTGGTGGACTATGCCCTGATACCCTCTGTACAGAGGAGGCCTTTATTCTTTAGCAGTGGGACATGTATAGGCTGATACTTTACTTTATATTGGTTTATCTTATTATCACTTTTCGCTGGTAGTAGAGATGTGATACTTTAATCGTCTGAGAATATCTGCGAGAACTTATCGATAGATCTCGTATGTTTCGCGAAATGTAATGTAAACCCCTTTATTCCAGAATGGTAGAAATAAAATATTATGATATAAATATCTTATTTTATTCAGTTTTGATAGAATGTAATTGCATAAACAATTCTGACAAAATAAAAATCTTTAAACATTAAAAATATAGTACAGGGAATTTAGACAATTATTGATAATTAATTTTACATTAAAGTATTTGTTAAATTCTTTAATAATGTGTAAAAACATCTGGATTACCATTCAAAGTAATGATTTCGTGAAAAAATATATAGGTATCGATAATATTATTATAAAATAAATAACCAATACTGATATTAAATATATAAAATATAGCTATTCTCAACATTTCTTTCGGACATCAGCTTATAGTATAAAAGGAAATAAAAAATTAAATGTCATACTGTAGTACTTTATAAAATTGTGAGTACTTTCGTATTGTATATTTATTAACTCCAAATAAATTGATGTTTGCAAGACATTGTGATATAACATATATTAACTGCAATGTGACTTCAGGGCTGTCACTAAACACGTCATATAAACTAAAAATGGTTTTAACAACTTACAAAAGATATAAGTGAAACCATTAAAATAATGCTAATCCCTACAGTTCTTTATTAAAAATGTTAATTTGCTCGTAGCACAAATATACTTTCTTCCTTGACTCATCACAGATCAAATGTAAAATCCATCAGAATTCCAACTTTTATTACAGAGCCCTCTTGTGTTCGGCGCACACAACACCCTTGGTGACTTAGAAGCGTTTAAATATAGTAGCATCTATAACTAACTTCTTTTTGAGGAGGAAGTGGCAATAATAAAATGCATTAAATGTTAGTGTTCTAATGGTTTAAGCTCTTTGATTTGCTTTATAAGGTAAGCCTTTTCGTCATTAAACTGCTCGTCTTCGGAACGATCTGTGTGAAATTTGGTGAGAAAATCAACTAACTTGTCTTGATTCCTTAAGAGAATGTCTAATATTGGTTTTGGCTTATTAGGGTTCGCTACAAATACCTGAAACAAAAAGAAGCCTTGTATGTATATCTAAAACAAATCAAGTTTTATATTAATAAATTCATAACTCCGGAATATTCAACATGAGACACAGTGCAACTAGTTTTCTTTATAGAAAATGAACTTTTTTTTAAACAATTGAAACCACTTGCTAAAAGCATCTCGATTTAAAGAAGACATGGGCGGCGGTTACAGCGGCGAAAACAACTAGTCCTAACATCCTTGAAATATTCAATCCAATCTTATAAACCACTGATAAGCCATAAAATTCATTAAAAAGTGATTTGAGTAGGTAGAACATTAAACAACTAAAATTTGTTATGCCCTATAAATGTAAAGGCTTATAAATCAAACCATTCAATTGACACTAGAAACATTGTAGAAGTTTCAATATGCTATAGTGACTAACAGCTGGTTTCAATATTCTATCTATCCATAGATTTGGTTCTTCTTCTTCTAAGGCAGTTGGCGGTCCATACGATATCGACAATGATAACACAATAATGATTAAGATAAAAATGGTTTCAAATATCTAAGAATATTTTCTTGTTGTTAAGTAAATTTGGTTAATAGTGATTGGTATATGACATTAGCTCTATAATACTTACCTACGTCAAAAATCTATCTCCAATAACTAAATAAAATATTAAAACCAAACATTTAATGAACACTTTTTTTAATAATCCACTATCTTACCTTAAAAACATGAAAGGCCTCGAATTGAATATTACGTGATTTTTCTTTAAGCATATTCATCATAAGTTTCAGATTGTCGGGATTTGTGATATAACGCGTCATAATAGAAAAATTGTGTCGATCTAAAAGCAACTCGCCAAGAAGCTTAAGGCTTTGCCGTCGGGTTACATAATTTTCGGAATTCAATAACCGCTGATAGTGACTGAAAACTTTATCATAGTTTGCTTCTAAAAACTCTGCACATAACATCTTATGTCTTGTTAACAATTCCTGAAAAGAAAATTGTAGTTCAACAAAGGTTTTTTCTGTTTGATTGAGCCTGATTATAAGAGAAGTAATTATTTAAAGAAGATAAAAATTTAAAATAAATTTATCTCAAAAACTTACAAAAATATTGTATCATAACTAAGTATGGAATCATATAGAAAGTGAAACTGGGAAAAGAAATCAAACAGTTCTTGAGTTTTAATGTTGTACTCTATCATGGTACAGGGGATGATAATGATATAATAGTCATTTTATTATACCATTATGATGAAACTATTGAAGTGAAAAGGAGCAACAAAATGTTAACAATATAGTCTCCTGGTTACAATAGGTGGAAAGTCTTAATTCAATGAATAAATTTTAAAACTAATACTTTAAATATATAACAATTTATTATTGTGGTAATCCCATGCAGCAGCTTCTGCTGTTGTACAATTGGGCAGGCTCGTCTTGAGAAAAACCACGGTCTCAAAGAACACTGGTGGGATGTGAAAACTAGGCCCACATTTTAAAAGTTTGGCAATGCATCTGCCTTTCTCTATACCTTAGGTATTGAACACTGCATTTTGCATTTGAGTCAAGCATTCATTGTTTCTATTGACAAAACTGCTTGATTTCAAACATACCTTAAAAGTAGAAAAGGCATCAGAGGCAATATCAAAAGTTGACACTTCTACATAACGGAAGAAATTGTAAAAGTCATCAGAGTATAACATTATCTTTGCCAAAGCCTCATATCTAGCACATTCTCGTAACATTGTTCCACAATTGGAAGCAATTTCCTGATGTTCGTACCTATAAACAAATGACAGTGTTATAATCAATTACAGGCATGAATGTACTGTATGTAGTAAAATTATTTATACGCTATGAAATGAAATATAAATAAGTTTTATGATGCACCAATTTTGATAGTTAACATTTATCATCAATTTTCTCATATTTCACATAAAGTACCAACACGTTGCAGTATGTTAATAACATTATGACTCAAATTTTTTATAGCATTATTAAAGCTATATCTTAACCATTAAATAAATACTGAGCATATGACAAAAAAGAATATAATTCCAGTTGCAATATAGCAAATAAGTAAAATTTTAATCGGTTTTTACTCACATGGATTCTATAAAAAAAGACTAGACCTAAAATCATATAATTTTAAAAAAGAAAAATTATGTGTTTTCTTTCTATTTTGATTTAGGTCTAAACACCCATTAAAATCATATAAAAAACCACCAACATTTTAGGTCATTAAAGGTCAGATTCCTGATTAATTTGCTTTAATCATATTTCAAGATTTTCTTTATATTTAAACTTGATGTCATTTTACAAAATTAGATTTGTCCTAAGAAAAAACTTGTAAGAAGTCACATACACGTTTTGGTATTCAAATTCTTTTATAGTTTACTGCCTCAGTTTTGTAAACTATGCAAATTTACATTCAAAAAAGTTCAATAATTGTCTAGATACTACACTTGACCAAAATTTGTATTGCAACAAATAATATGTACAATATACTATAATTACCCAGACATCAAGGTGAACAATATTTCCGGCTTAGTACATATGTACTCAACAGTTGGTGAACGGGTCCCAATTTGACGCCTCAAAACATTATTGAACACTTGAGCTACATCTTTCTTTCCTTCAAAGTCAATTCGGTTCAAATTCTAATAAAAAAAAACCATATCGTATAAAGTAAATACAACAAAAGACTTTCATAACTGAATTGATATTAAGAGGTTAGGAACATACTTGTATCAAAAGCAAAAGAAGATTAGTATTATACAACTCCTGCGCTAGCTGTGCTACAATGATGTCAGTCTGTGGTTCTGCATCAGATGTCCCATACAGCATATTTTTTATTAAAACCTGAAAATTAATTTATGTTTATATTAGGTTTTATTGTTTGCACAAATAATCAAGATAAATAATAAAGAATGGATATTCCACTCACCAAATTTTTGCTAACATCTTCCTGTGCTTTTTCAGCTTTCTTATCACCTCTCTCCAGCGCTGTAACAGCGTCTTTTAATGATCTCACTAGCTCCGCAGGGCTCTTTTGAGACTTACCAAAAAGAGGCATAGTATTATAATAATTTTCCCAGATGATCCAAAAACCCTTTATACATAAGATTGCACCTGAAATGTATTATCAAATACAATAACATAAACATACTATCAAAAGATCACTGCACTATGTACTTGCACTTGATATTCTACAGAATGCAAAAGGAATAAAAATAAAGATTAGATTACGACGACAAACTATTTTAAAAGTGGTATATGCTTTTGAAAAAGGACAATAAATCATTTTTTTATTTTATTTACCTTAGATTACACAAATTATACTAAAAATCACTCACTTTCTGATAATTATAATTTAGGTACCCTAGCGATAGACCACAGCCAGACGAAACGAACAGCTGTGATGTCAATACCAACTTGCCAGTTAAAATAAAATATATGACAACTATTTTTTTGATTTTTTTTTTTGTTGTGTAGTTTTCCCAGCAGCTTCTAAAGCGACATTGAAAGAGGTCCGCAGACCCCAGGCAGATGAACCGCGGAAAACAACGTAGCTGGTGCACAACGACACTGCGATGTCGTCCTCCGCTCCGCTGCATCTCTGACCCTCGTTAAAAAAAAATTAACACCCAATCAAAAAACCCTCGTATCGAGGTTGAAGGTGCTGTACGTAGTCAAAATCTCATAACAAAATGTATTCGTTTTAAAGCAGTACAAAAATATTTGTAAATATTTTTTTTGTGTATTTAAGTGTAGTTTGCTGTTCGCCAGCGCCGGCTTTGACAGCTTCATCCGGACCGAAAGGACCTGCGGACCCGGGAGAAACGCACTCACGACATTCAAGCACATTATCGTGTAGGGTACCAGACATTAATTTTAGATTTCTATTTTGAAATAATTGGATAATATTTGAAACTTTTCTAACGATAAATTATAAAAGAAAATGTACTTAGAGTTACTTCCGTTAGAAACAAAAATCTAAGTTACTCCCTATTCGCGCCTAAAGAAGTTTTACTTCAAAAAGAAAGAAGAAGACAAAAAAATTTACACGAATACGATAGTTGAAAATAAATATCGATATATCGATACTAATAATCTACGATATTTATTTGGAAAAATACCGATATTTTAAATGTCGATATTTTTTGCCCATGCCTAATTGACGTTTATATTGCAAAAATCTTAAAAATAAAAATGTATTTGTGAAGTGTGACTGCGAACGTGTCGATCGTTTGATTGAAGTGGATAAATTCATTTTGTGGACTAGGTTAGAATTAAGTCTTTCTCCAGTCCCCTTTTTAGATAATTTATGACGAAAGATGGCTGAGGTTACAAGTGATAAGTTATCAAAGAAGTGAGTATTAGCTGTCATAAAAGAAAATGTTAACTTCTAGGACATTTTCATTTTTGGCATGCAACGGGATCCGTAGAAGTGTGCTTATTAAGAATGCGCCTTTTAATCGATATTCAAATAATTCGACTGCAATATGCAAGCGGTTAGTTTTATTTGACGAATGTAAAAATAATAGCTTTTTAACTGGTGATTATTTCTAATAACTTTTTCAGCGAGTTAAAGCGGCGTATGAAAGCCGAGCAAAAATTAAAAGAAAAAGCAGAAAAGGCCGCTCAACAACCTGTTAACGTGGGAAAGAAACCGATAAAATCTGAAGAAGATATAAGTCCAAATGAATACTATAAGTTAAGAACGGCTGCTGTGGCTGCACTTAAGAGCAGCGGTAAAGAAGAACATCCATATCCACATAAATTTACTGTGACTATATCTTTGGAAGCTTTTATTGATAAATATAATAATTTGAATAGTGGTGAAGTATTAGATAATGTAACATTGTCAATTGCTGGTAGAATTCATTCAATTCGAGAATCTGGAGCTAAGTTAATCTTTTATGACTTGAGAGCAGAAGGTGTCAAAGTTCAGGTATTATATTTCTCTTACATAGGCTAATAGCTCACTGACACAAAAATATACTATGGAATTATTTAACCAATAGCATCTTTTCAGGTTATGGCTAATGCTAATTTATATGAATCTGAAGAGAAGTTTACCCATGATATAGACAAGTTAAGAAGAGGTGATATTATTGGATGTATTGGTCACCCAGGAAAGACCAAGAAAGGGGAACTTTCAATAGTACCTAAGAAAATAAAACTATTGTCACCATGTCTTCACATGTTACCGCATCTTCATTTTGGCCTTAAGGACAAGGAAACTAGATTTAGAAAGAGATATTTAGATCTTATTTTAAATGATAAGGTATATTTATTCTTTTATTTCTATATATATATGTGTAAATTAATTATTTTATTAATTTACTTCTGTATTTTACCAGGTCAGGCAAACATTTTATACAAGAGCAAAAATCATTTCATACATAAGACGCTTTCTAGATGGCATGGGTTTTCTTGAAATTGAGACTCCAATGATGAATATGATACCTGGAGGGGCAACAGCTAAACCTTTTGTTACTCATCATAATGAACTTAACATGGATCTCTATATGAGAATAGCCCCTGAATTATATCACAAGATGTTGGTTGTTGGTGGTTTGGATAGAGTATATGAAATAGGTCGCCAATTCAGGAATGAAGGCATTGATTTAACACATAACCCTGAATTCACCACTTGTGAATTTTATATGGCATATGCAGATTACAATGATCTTATTTCTATCACTGAAACAATGATTTCTGGAATGGTTAAGAATATACATGGTACCTATAAGGTATAATATATATATTTTTAACTACATTAATACACATAAGTATTGTACACTTATAACTATTTGCTTAAATTTTTCTACAAGTTATTTTACTAAAAAGAAAAAAGTTTCAAATATTTAGTAAAATTAATTATTCCTATTTATTATTGTCATTATTACATCAATTGTTTAGGTAAAATATCATCCTGATGGACCTGACGGACAAGAGGTTGAAATTGATTTCACTCCACCATTTGCACGAGTACCTATGATTGCTGCATTAGAAAAAGTCTTGAGTGTTAAATTACCACCAGCTGATCAATTGGACACTCCTGAAGCAAATGCACTTCTTAGTCAACTCTGTGAAAAACATGAGGTATTATTGTAATCATTGTAATTTTTAGGATTCTATACCCAAAGGGAAAATGGGACCCTATTTCTAAAACTCTGCTGTTTCTCATGACCCATAATAGCTAGACAGTTGAAATTTTCCCAAATGATGTATTTCTGTTGTCACTATAATACCAAACAGAATAAAAAATATTTTACTGCATGAATTATGAATGAAATGATGAAAGAAATATTTGATGGTAATTAAGGTTTTTTTTATCATAAAATCAATAAAAATCACAAAATTTAAAAAAAAACTCAACCGGAAAAAAATCTAGGTCATATATGGGTTTGTATGCACTTAAACAAATTTAAATCGAAATTACTATGGATAAATATGGGTTCATATGAAATAAAGTAAGTATTAGAAATTTTAGTTTTAATAATAATATAAAGTACCCTTGTAATTTTTGTCATGAAATGCCAACAAACAGTTTCGATTGTTGTTATAACATAACAAAACTATACATTTTCTACACAATATGATGTTTAGGCACACTGTACCTAAGGGCAAGAGTCCAATCATTGTAAGATATAGGTACATAATGTTTAGGACTATTGAAACAATGATCAAAAAATTTTTTATGATTTGCATGTCTTTTTAAAATGTTTTCAGTGTTGCTAGTAGAGGGTCAGTTTTGTTATCAGTGCAATCACTATATGTTTCGAGTATAACAAGAGATCTTTTGTGACATTGAAATTGTTTAGAAGGAACATGTTTAATATCAGAATCTGTAGTTAATTCATCATCACTTAGTAAGCCCTCACCAGATATAGAATTAACATACTTATTAGAGCCATAAAAGCGGGCAGGATCCATTCTGCAACCAAGGAAAATTAATTTCATGCTCATAAAAAATTACAAGTGCATATGAAACCATATTTGGATCTGCAGTAAAACCGTTAGTCTATGTTAGAATGCATGCGAATCTATATATGGTTTCATGCAAGAAGCCACCAAATATGATAGAAATAAGAAAGAAAGTATCAAACAAATAAATACACTTATAATATAACAAAAACAACATTATATTTTATTTTTTTACCAAACGAATCTTGCCTGTTTTATGTAGAAAAACATTTTGAAAAACGAATTTACAGCCACTGTGTTGAACTTCACCGCGCTTAGAAAAGTTATGTTTAAACTAAATTAACATATTGACTAAATAGCCAACAAAAATTTTTTTCGTATTGCCAACATATTAAATATGATGTAAACAATGCGTTTAGTTATTGTTCGTACATCATTACATGAAAAAAAAATACTGAATCTGGTGAACCATATATAAATAGCTATGCGGTCTCTACCGCATACCGGTTTAGTGGGTCTCCCATACAACCAATATGATTGTTTTGGCGTATTTTATATACGGAACTATTGGAGCGCAAGTCCGTTCTCGCACTTTGCTGATTTTTTAAGTACCCAAAGAAAGATTTTATTTTAATATATATAAAAAATTGTTTTTGTAGGTAGAATGTCCTGCTCCAAGAACAACAGCAAGACTTCTTGACAAACTTGTAGGAGAGTTTCTTGAAGAGAAATGCATCAATCCAACATTTATATTAGACCATCCACAAATTATGAGTCCATTATCCAAGTATCACAGAGAAGTTCCTGGCCTTACTGAAAGGTATTTTTAAGTAATTATTGAAATACAATTTTTGTAGTACTCTTTAAACATTTATTAGGGTATGTAGATATATCATAATAGATGGTAAGTCTGTTGCTCTTAAACAATCACAAATTTAAAACATCTAAAACCAATTTTAACTCATTGATGCTCAGAGAATTATAACTTCTATCCATGGGCTACAAGTTGTATTTTAGTTATTGCTACTATCCATGGGCTACAAGTTGTATTTTAGTTTTTGCTAAGTCAATTTAATGGTAGACTGATAACAAAATCTGAAAAATTTAGTCTAATATTATAGAGGCCAGGCCAGGCCCCAAACACTACGGTTTCTACGGTGGTAGGGCCACGCAGCAGCCTCGGCTCTTGCACGAATGGGTAGGCTCGTCCGGGTAAGTACCACAACCTCACATTAAAAAAAAAAAACAATATATTTATATACAGTGAGGCTTTTCTAAGTGTATGCATTTTTTTCATCATTCTTTTAAAAATAAAATAGCACAGCATGTATTCCATAAAAATATCGGAGTCAATAACCCTTATGATTCTTATAGAGCAATGGTTGATTTTCTCATAACTTCTTATAATCATACTTTTAAACCCCGCACAATTGTTAAAAAATCAAAATTAAAATTTAGTGACTGGGCAACAGTGGGTATATATAAAAGTAGGGATTCACTGTATGAATTATATAATATGAGGCAGTGGAATCACAACCCTAATTTCCATAAACGGGTACAAAATTTTTCAAAAATATTTAAAAAAGTCTGTATACAGGCATAATCTATCTACATAAGAAATAGAATTTTAAATTCTAGTAATAAAATAAAAGCTACATGGGACATCATTACCTGTATATCTGGAAGACCCAAGATATTCAGGGAACCCATAAAGTTAGTGATAGGCAATACACCCGTAACTTCAGATAACAAAGTTGCAAGTAGTATCGAAAGCTATTTTTCAGATATTGCAATTAATGTCACATGCACATTAAAATCTTCTCACTTTGATGCAATTAATGTATTAAAAAATAATGTTACCTATTGTCGACAAACGTTTAAATTTAATCACATAGATACTAATGATAGTATAAAAGTTTTCAATTCTATTAATCTTAAAAATACAGGAGATCTATGGGGCATGCCCATAAAAATAATGAGCACAATAATGCCGTATATTGCACAATATTTGGCATATATTTTTAACAAATATAGATTCTGAATGATTATTTTACAAATTAATATTTCCAGATCTTATGAAATTCAGTAAGATAATTCCCGTCTTCAAAAGGAGGGATAAAAATGATCCAGGAAACTACAGACCTATCTCCATATTGCCATCTCTAAGTAAAATTTTTGAAAAACTAATTTTAAATCAATTCTTAGTACATGTTAATATTTTTCACAATGAGCAATATGGATTCGCTAAAGGCAGATCGACAACAGATGCGGGTGTCACACTTGTCAAACATATTTATAACGCCTGGAAAAGGTCACAAGATACAATAGGTGTCTTTTACGACCTTTCAAAGACTTTCGACTGCTTGCGTAGACCACAAAACCCTCCTTCAAAGCTAGATTATTCTGGCATTCGTGACATCGCCCTCAATCTCATTGCCTCTTACCTTAGTAATAGAATTCAAAAAGTATCTATAAATTATGGGTCCTAAGTATTCCGCAGGGTCCCCCATGAAAATGGGTGTCCCACAAGGATCAATCTTGGGCCCATTATTATTCTTAGTATATATAAATGATCTCCCCTTTTAGGCCAGTGAGTTATGTGATGTACTGTTTGCTGACCACACATCGCTCATTTTTAAGGTTGACCGAAACGTGTCGAATTATGACGACTAGTGCACTTTCGCGTATCCTCCACTGGTTTACCGTTAATAATATGGTGTTAAATGCTAAAAATACTAAACGCCTTCTTTTTACCCTTCCCAGCGTAAGAAGGCAAAGTTTTAGCTTAACATTAAATCCGTAACTCTTAATCCTGTTGAGTCCGCTGTATTCTTGGGAATTACAGTAGATTCAAAGCTCCAATGGAGTCCCCATCTATCATCCCTTGCGAATAGGTTAAGCTCCGCTGTTTTTGCAATTAGCAAGGTTAGGCAGCTATCAGACATCGACACTGCCAGACTTGTTTACTTCTGTCTGTTGAGCTGTCCGAGCAATCTATAACATCGGAGCCCGGAATACACTCGGAGACCTTTTTAAAGAGATTAATATACTGACTGTTGCGTCTCAATATATTTATTGTAATATTTTGTATGTTAAACATAATTTTAATAATTATCTAAAGAATAGTGACAGACATAAACTAAATACTAGAAATAAGGACTAACTAACTACGCCATTTTTTCGTCTGCAAAAAGTAAACAGTTTGTTCATGGGGCAAAGTGTACGTATGTATAATAAAATCCCACAGTCAATATTAAGTTTGCAACTTGATGAATTTAAACGAAAAGTTAAAAGTAAAGTTATGGCTAAAGCATGTTATACTATTGCTGAATATCTTGACGACGCCAATGTGTGGGGTTAATGCTGTTGATACTCACGTAGGCTAAAACAAGACTATTATACCTTACGTACACATTAATTTCCTTGTAAAATTTCTACGCTTCATAAGAACGCGCAAGCGTCTATGTGAATAAAGATTATTTTATTATTATTATTATTATTATTTATTAAATTCTAGACATAGATATTGTTATATAAAAAATATATATATTTAAAATTACTCATAATTAAATACATTCATTTGAACTTATCTCAAAAAGTGCGTGATTTATGGGCAACTCATTTGCGCGCACTCACGCGCGATCATTCATAACTAGCACGCACACAAGTTCGTTTAAAAGTATACGACGCCTTTATGAATGACTACCGCATTGTCAACAAGTTATGGTTTTTTAGGGAATGGAATGGCAATTTTTGAAAAAAAAAGTTTTTTTATTTCAATAAACGATTATACTACCGAGTCTGAACCTCCTGTGTGAATTTGGGCACCTTTAGAAAAGCCACTTTGTATATACAGCGTGTCGTTACAACCGTGACAATAAATGAACACGTCAAACAGTACTTGCCAATAATTTAAAAAAAAGTCCATAACTAAAAAAAATTTTTTATTTTATTTTTTCAAACTAATTAAATAAAAAGGAAACAAACCAACACTTATACCTCTACAACTGACTGATTCATACATTCAGAAACTTTTTCATTCATTGCCACAGCGTCGTATTACAAATCTCTTCTTGTAACAGTATGTTTTATGTCTTTTAAATTCATTCAACCCATTCGTATGCTTTGTGACCTTTACAAATGAACTTTACGTTACAGTTTGTTTTGTAAAATTTAATAACTCGGTAAATATCTATGTTTAAATATGTAATGTAAATGTTTAATACAATTTTAAAAAGTTATCCTTTATACTTGTGTTTATTGTCGCGGTTGTAACGACACGCTGTATTTGCGCGTTGGAAAGAAATTATGAGAGTAAAATTTTTACGACCGGGTAGCTAACGACGCCTAAAAAAGCGTCAAGCGACATGACTTCATCATGCTTGGTTGGTATTGCCAAGAAGTTGATTGGAATAACTTTTCGACATTTACCAATAATTCCAAGTTATTTAAGAATACCAATAACAATTGCATTTAATGTCTTAATACTATTTAATAATATTATTGGAAATCATATAATTTTATGATAATTAATTATTATAATATGTTGATCTATAACTTTTCAATATTAGTAATCTGTTAAGTAAGACTTCTCATGCTAGCTTAGCTTTAATAATTCTATATCATGTATTAATAAAATGTTTAAACTTTGTAGATTTGAGCTTTTTGTAATGAAAAAAGAAATATGCAATGCATATACAGAGTTGAATGATCCAGCAACCCAACGTGAAAGATTTGAACAGCAAGCTAAAGATCGTGCTGCTGGTGATGATGAAGCACCACCAACTGATGAAGCATTTTGTACTGCTCTTGAATATGGTCTGCCACCCACTGCTGGTTGGGGCATTGGAATTGATCGGCTTACAATGTTTTTAACTGATTCCAATAACATTAAGGTACTATAGTACTTTTGTACATTAGATTACAATAAAAGCTTTTTTATGTGAGAAGGTGTACTTCAACCTTGTGGTTCACCTGTTGTTAAGTGATAACTGCAACCTGTGGACATTTACAATATCAGTAGGGTTGGAGATGCGTTGCCACCTTATAATAAAGTGGTCCTTGGTTACTTCATTCAGATGAAACGCAGAAGTATAAAACTACGTCACGCCTGTCACCTGTGAGTAGAAGTGGGCGATACAAATCGTATCAGATATGAAAACTAGATATTAGTACAATATCCCAATATCGCTTACTGGCTCGTTCAATATCTATGTATTTTACAATATCTGATATTTCCGAAATCTGATGTACCGTGCTCGCTCGCTATACCCTTTACACGAATCGCGATACGGCGATATCATACGCGTTTAACACAATATCTGATTTTTAAACAGATTTCGAGAGACAAAGCGCGTGAGATACAAATACTCACTAGTTAGAGCGGGACGGCAAGCAATGCACGATATCAGATATCGAGCGACAAAGCGCGTGAGATATAAATACTTACTAGTTAGAGTGGGACGGCAAGCAATGCACGATATCAGATATCGAGCGACAAAGCGCGTGAGATATAAATACTTACTAGTTAGAGTGGGACAGCAAGCAATGCACGATATCAGATATTGAGCGACAAAGCGCGTGAGATATAAATACTTACTAGTTAGAGTGGGACGGCAAGCAATGCACGATATCAGATATTGAGCGACAAAGCGCGTGAGATATAAACACTTACTAGTTAGAGTGGGACAGCAAGCAATGCACGATATCAGATATTGAGCGACAAAGCGCGTGAGATATAAACACTTACTAGTTAGAGTGGGACGGCAAGCAATGCACGATATCAGATATTGAGCGACAAAGCGCGTGAGATATAAACACTTACTAGTTAGAGTGGGACAGCAAGCAATGCACGATATCAGATATTGAGCGACAAAGCGCGTGAGATATAAACACTTACTAGTTAGAGTGGGACAGCAAGCAATGCACGATATCAGATATTGAGCGACAAAGCGCGTGAGATATAAACACTTACTAGTTAGAGTGGGACAGCAAGCAATGCACGATATCAGATATTGAGCGACAAAGCGCGTGAGATATAAATACTTACTAGTTAGAGTGGGACGGCAAGCAATGCACGATATCAGATATCGAGCGACAAAGCGCGTGAGATATAAACACTTACTAGTTAGAGTGGGACGGCAAGCAATGCACGATATCAGATATGGAGCGACAAAGCGCGTGAGATATAAACACTTACTAGTTAGAGTGGGACAGCAAGCAATGCACGATATCAGATATTGAGCGACAAAGCGCGTGAGATATAAATACTTACTAGTTAGAGTGGGACGGCAAGCAATGCACGATATCAGATATCGAGCGACAAAGCGCGTGAGATATAAACACTTACTAGTTAGAGTGGGACGGCAAGCAATGCACGATATCAGATTTTTAAACAGATATTATGAATAAGTTAAGTAATTTTGAATCTTAACACCATGCAAATAAGATCCGTTTCATTTAAATACTAATCTTGGTATCAGCGATTACTACAACGATATTATTATATTTTTATTGTTTTGTTTAGCCTTGAGCCGTAACGGGCGACAAAGCGCGCAGTTAAGTAATTTTGAATCTTAACAGCATGGAAAAAAACTCTGTTGCATTTAAATACGAATTACGGTACTAACGATGTCTTTGAAATTTTGTTCAGCCTTGAGCTGGATTGCATTGGTACTTAACACGTAATAGTAAGGGATGCCAAGTTACTACTTAAGAATTTTCTGCCTAAATTAAGGAAGAAAAATGTACAATGAAAATTTTTTAGGAGGTAAATTTTTTGTGAATATTTTTATTAGCTGAATATTATTCATATTTTTGGAAAAAAATAAAAGTACACAAAAAGAAAAATATAATGTAATAGTGCTGTGCTGCTTTGGTGGAAATCAGACCAAGGCTTATGTGCCTTGTGTGTATATTTTAAATTCTTCCGCCCTAAGCTATAATACTGAATGTATTATTTCTTACACAAATAAACTAAAAATATTGCCACTCGATTGCATTGCGTGTTTCTAAAAATATGTTAAAGTCAATTAATAAGCGGTATATAAGATGTGAAAATAAATCATTTTCATCATAAATCATTTATATTTTTAATAATTTTTTTTTTTTTTTTTTTTTTTTTTAGAATTCTATTAATCAACGTGGATAGGGAAACGTAAAATATCTAGATATTAAAATACATAGTTTCGAAATCTGATATTTGAAATCGATATCGGATTCAGATACGGTACTCAGAAAAAGCGATACGACCCATCCCTACCTGTGAGGTCACATAGTACTTGTTTGGAGACCTGCCTATACATGCAGCATAGACTGTACTGTAGTCTAAACTCTAAATGATTTATAATAAACTAGCTTTTCGCCCGCGGCTTCGCCTGCGTTGAAGCCCTTTAAAAAAAAAAAAAATATATATATATATATATATATTTTTTTTTTTAAAGAAAGATATTTTCAACACTTTACAACAATTTTTTCCAATAAAAAATAGCCTATGTCCTTTCTCAGGCTCTAGACTGTGTACTAAAATTCATTTAATTCGCTTCAGTGGTTTTGGCGTGAAAGCTATACAGTTACTTTACAGACACAGTTACTTTTGCATTTATGATATTAGTATGGATAATGGAGTTTTTAATTAATTTTGCAGGAAGTCCTATTATTCCCAGCTATGAAACCAGATGACCCCAATAAATACCAAAACGACGATAGTACCATATCTCACGGGCCTCTTGTTCAGAATGGGCCCCAATAGAAATAATGGCAAATTAATGGGATTATATATATGGAAAAAAGTAAAGCAGTTTACATCACTTGACCTTTCTTGATAACTGTGTCATTGCATTGTCTTAATAAAACAACTCTATTTAAATTATTTGTTTCATTTCAATAAGATTATTAGTTTCTTTTATTATAATTAATTGCCTATTAAATTTTTGCAGAAAATAATATACTTAATTAAAATAATCAAATAATTACATTAATAAACAATTGTACAAATCTTATTGTTATTACAGGGCTTGCAACCCTGTATACAAAAATGTATGCAGTGTTGTAACTATACTAAAGGGTTATTGTTCATAATTTTAAAGTAAAAAACTAGTCAATTTGTAAGCAATAGCTTATGTTGTATTACATCGATAATTTATATGAAAAAGTAACTGGGTGATTTGAAGGTTTAAAATTTGTCATGAAACTGTTTATTTGTAAAAGGGTGTATATTTTTTTATGTGACTAAGTGGCAAATGAACTGGCAGTTCAATTCTTATGTTAAGTGATAACGGCCACCCAAGGACATTTCCAAAACCCTTATGATTGCAAAAGAGTTGCCGCCTTTAAATAAAGTGGGCCCTGGCTACTTTGCTAACGAGAAAAAACAGAAATTTAACACTTCTACTTTATGTTGGAGTTCTGTGAGGTCATGGTACTGGTATTGCTTTAGTATACGGAAGCACGCGTAGGGTCGGGGAAGGGGGCGGGGAATGTGGTGAACCTGTAAGAGAGAGGGGTGTGAAAATGTATAGTTTCTGAAATATATTAAAAAACTACCCTAACCTATGCAATGTTACAATGGTGGTATTTATTTAGAATCAGGTGGTGGTAGGTGGAGGCTCTTCTTTACCGGGTCTATTTCTAAGGTGGGAGCTCCGCTTCTAACCTAATCTGTCAGAGTCATATTGCTCTGATTCGGCCTGTCAACGATAATGATGATATAAAAAAACTTAAACATGTTGAAAGACCACTAAAATATATTTTACCCCTGTTATATTTCCTATTTCAGGCTTTTTTTAAAGGCAAAGATTTACCGTAAGCGAAAAATAATTATGCGGTCTGATATAACATGCGTTAAAAGATATAATCATTAAGTTGTCTCTTTCTAATGTTTTAGAATGTAATTAAATCGATTTCTTTTCTATGACGGTTATCCAATTCTGCTTCTAATCTAGCAATTTCTGCAGCGAGTTCTTTTTTCTTGGTTTTATCATTTTTTGCAACTTTCTTTAAACCCTGTATATGCGCCTGAAGTTCTTTCTTTTCTTTCCGATGTTTAATTTCAAGCAACTCTAAGTCATGATTTTCTTCAATACGATCTTCCATTTTGTTAAATGTTTATTATTTCTAATATTTCTAATATTATTAGACATTTGACAATGACATGATAGCATTGACAGGAAAGAACGAGTATGGTTAACCCAAAGAACATATACCTACTTACAAACTAGATTGTGCACCAAACATTTTTGTGAAGCTAAAATAAGATCTATGGTTAGTGACTTAGGGTACTTATTTCCTTTTAAGCGGTAGCTAGTCAAAGAGTACATTATTAATATAGAGTTATCAGTGTCCTCGTGAGACAGCGCCATCTCTTGATGCGGTTCCGAACTACAAGTTCAGATAATTAACCATTTTGTTTATAGAATTGAGAGCTGTATTCAACTACAGTTTTCTATATAGGTATGAATTGTATTTTATCTAAATTTGATAACATTGTATAGAAAACTATAATTGGAATATATAATAATAACAACCTTGCTAGATGTCATTTTTGGATAAAGTAAATATAATACAGAAATATGTTTTGCGAACTTTATTTCGTGTTATATTCATTCGCTATTTTTTTTATAATCTTTGTTATGAATTGATTTCGAGTCTGATGCCGTTTAGTAAATTTTAAATTATTTTTGGCTATTGTGTCCTTGTCTGACATCTTGCCAACCCAACTAATTATTGGGTTTGGTAGAAATGGTAGAATGTTATACATTTTGCTTTTGTATGATTTACCAAAACGAACAATTCACAAATTGTTAGCAACTGATTTGTTTGATGCTAATATGACCTATCTATTACTATACAAGGCCTCACAAGACCACATTGAAATGTTTTTTTCATGCGTGAGAGCAAGAGGAGGGGCAAACGACAACCCTACTGCCCTTCAGTTTATGTTTATTATGCGAAAGTTGCTATTTCGCAACAGCGTCAAACCAAGCGTTAATGCAAACTGCACAAATCTCGATTAAGAAAATTCTGCAATACTAGAGTTCCGAAGTGCAAAAAGAGCGATATTGGAAGAGAATAACATTTCAGATGAAAATGAAACAGACAAGAGTGATGTTCTTATGTCCTTAGTGGACTGAATCGATTTATCGGACTATTAAAACAATATATTATACTACACTGGCTACATTGGCTACATTGTAATGAAAATATTAGAAAAACTAACATGTCGACATTGCCGAGCCTTGCTTATAACGCATCGTACACACAAAGACTTGATTGATGTATGTGAATTTTCTTCTTTCACAGCCTTTATAGACAGAGGAGGGCTAAAATATGCTTCAACATTTGTGTCGACGTAGTAAAATATGTAGAAAAACTTTTTTTGCTAATATCTCCTGATTTACAAAGTTTGAATGTGAAAAAAATGCTTAATGTGACCTTACAATATTTTTCCCCAAAAATTAAGCACATTTTGCCTAACCACCCAAGCTTTGACGAATTGAAATTGATTAAATGTATTGGTCAAAAATACTTAAATTTAAGACTTCGAAGCTACGGGAGGTCCTTTACCCTCAAGCACGTAGGTGATAAGGCTACATTACGTCAAAAATTGCGTAAAACTGTGTTGTTCAGTAATGTATAAAAACAGATTAATAAAAAATTATTTCATAAGGCTACATTACGTCAAAAATTGCGTAAAACTGTGTTGTTCAGTAATGTATAAAAACAGATTAATAAAAAATTATTTCAATTTCAATATTACTTATTAAAAAGGTTAGTAATAATAATTTATTGTATTATTTTGTTTAACGGTATTTTTATTGAAATGTAAAATTATTGTTGTAAGTCTAGTTTAGGTTCATTTAGTTAATTTGTATTATATACAGTACAGTTAGCATTAAAGCTACATTAATTAACTAGTGCGGCCATAATTAGCTTACTACTTTTACATTATTACAAATACTTAAAATACCACGTGTTACGGTACTTTTGAAATAATACAGTGAGTTTTGCTACAATTATTATTTTTTAATTTTTGCTTCTAGCGATTTGTAATCATATTTTATTTTTATCGTTTATTTATTTTTATCTTATATAACTTCAGGTGGACTTCAAACGTCTCTCAGAATGACCGAAGAAAAGGAGTTAATAAGAAAGCGAGGAAGTTTTAAAGGTCGTTTGACTTTATTTACGAATTATTTAAATTCGCTTTAATCCCCGTAGGCTCATCATCGGCACGTGAGTTGCAATTGCGCACGGGTAAGCTTATCTCAATGTACGATCAATTTGACGAGGTACAGTTAAGACTTGAGTGCATCAGCGATAATATTGATACACTTCTTGCGGAGCGAAATGAGTTTGAATCTCATTATTATAAGATATTGTCAAAGGCACAAAATATATTAACACATAATAAAGATCAAAACGATTCGGTATGTAGCGATAAGTGTACCCATGTTAGTACTAGTCAACACAAGCTAGGCAAGTTGCCTACTATTCAATTGCCTAAGTTTAGTAGATCATATGAAGACTGGTTAGAGTTTCGTGACACCTTTGCCAGCCTAATTCATAAAAACGACGACATAGACAGTTAATAAATTCCACTACCTACGTTCATCCTTAGAGAGGACAGCCGCGGTGGTAATTCAATCGATTCAGTTCTCTGCGAGTAACTACGAGGTAGCATGGAATATTTTATGCGAAAGGTTCGATAATAAACGGTTGCTTATTCAAAACCATGTTTCGGTTTTATTCAATCTCGATTGAATTACAAAAGAGTCGTCGGTATCTTTAAAACGTATTATCGACCAGTTAAGTAAAAACTTAAGAGCGTTAGCGACCTTAGGCGAGCCAGTTAATTATTGGGACACTCTCCTCATATACAACGTCACTCATAAGTTAGATTCAAAATCTTATCGAGAGTGGGAGGAGTTTAAAGGACGTTTAGACAAAGAAAAGTCGATAAGTGTTGATATTTTTGTCGAATTTCTGGGAAATCGTGCTGATCTAATTGAAACTTTAGAATTGACATGCAGCGGAGGACAGCTTAACTCAAATAATAACAAAGCGAAATTAAAAACGATGGTATCTCTCGCGAAAGGAGCAGTTGATAGCTCAAATGTATCTACTCGTTCTACATGTTGCCCTAAATGTAACAGTGAACGTAATTTAAGTAATTGCTCGCAATTTTTAGCAGTAAGCTGTAATGAACGTCTTAAATTGTTGCCGTCTTATAAGGTGTGTTTTAACTGTTTTCGTAGTGGTAACTTTGCTAACCATTGTAAGAGATCGGGATGTAAGATATGTCGACTTAAACACCATACTCTTATTCATAAGGCAGGTAAAACGCCAAACGAACATGTTAGTAGCAACATTCGTATTGAACCACCATTACAGACAGAGATCGTACCTTCTAGTGCGAGTGTTACTCTTTCAGCCCGTATCGATGCGTCCAGAAGCGAACAGAATAGTGAATAATACGACGTGTTATTGTCGCCCGCGCTAATTAAGTTGCATGATTCAAACGGTCAAGAACATGTTGCTCGTGCCGTGCTCGACAGTGGAAGCACATCATGTATAATGACAGACAGGCTAAGCCAGCAGTTGCGACTGCCTTTTTATTGTGTGGATAATTCTGTTCTCGTTATAAATAATATGGCATCTCATATTAATAAAATGAACCGTAGTTGTATACAGTCATTAAACGGAAGTTTTAAAACAAATGTGCAGTGTTTTGTTTTGCCTTCAATAACC